AAACATAATAAATAATATTTTTTTGTCATAAATTCATATTGAACAAAAAAAGTCATAAAAATTTTTATTAAAAAAAGTAAAATTTAATATTTAATTTATTAATTATCTAATTAAATTTATCAATTTATCACTAATATCAAAATTAATATCACTGTTTTTATTTTTATATATATATTTATAATTAAAAAATATCCTAATATTTACTACACATATTAAAAGAACCATTTTTTATTTTTATGTACGGAGATTATTAAACGTTTGTTTACTGATGTGGGAACCATGATGACATGTTTGGGACACATGTTGACGTGGATATAGTTTATTTTTATTTTATTAAATAAATCTTAATTACTAGTAACTACACTAAACTTTCACATTTGCTAAAAAAAAAAGAAAAATAAATTTTTTTGAATAATCTGACAGAAAACAGGTAAAACTTTTAAAATGTATATATATTTATTCAACGTGGCTAATATCACTGTAACTAAAAAGATAGATGCATTTCATCTTCCCCTTTTAATCAAACACTACATAAAAAAAAGACAAAAAAAAAGTCAATTGTTGCCCTGAGATGTGTCCCAAACAGTAGAATTTATTCGGCAAGAAATAAGTTGAAGAACGGAAGAGGCAGATTCGACCCAATTGTAATTTTTTACAAAAGTGAAGCATTAATTAAGGACTAAAGAAAATTGGTTTCTCCGCCTTTCTTGGAGAGAACAAGTGCTGTCGTCTGATCCAACCAACGCGCACCCACTTTTTTGAATCCCTCACTTCTATACTTTTAATGTCTGTCCTAAATCCTCACCACCTTCCAGCTTTTTTCTTCATATCTCACTTATGGCAGCTCTTGCTCCACCCTCCTGTTTTTCTTCCTCTCTGTCAAAGGACCCATTTTCAACCACCACCACCGTAAGCATTCCTTCTATTTTTCTTCCTTCTCTAACTCATGTGTCATTTTTGCATCTGGGTTGTTACCGGTTTTTGGAATTTTGGTGGTAGGTCTTGGATCATAAGAAGCTGGGCGAAGGGGGAATTCAGAAGACCCAGTTCAGCGTTTGGATTTCTTCCAAGTAAGTAACTGTTCTGTTTCTAATGCCAATCAGCTTTGAAATTGGATGTTAATTCAGATTTGTTTGTTTTGCCTCTTAATTAGACTGTGTTCCTTTGGGTTTAAAAATTTGCCCTTTCTATTTCTTTCCTTATTTTTCTTGTTACATGTGATAGCAGTTAGCCCTTTATTTTCCAGACCTTTTCACTGTTCGAAATCAAGATCACCATCTTGAAATCTCAAGCTCTACCAATTGAGACACCCCTTGAGTTGAGGGCATATTTAGTAAGCGTGTTGCTGTGGTTTTTTTCCCCCTTAATCAATTGAGGGAGTTTACAGGGTTCAAAAGAAATAGTTTTGGCTAAAAGGTTTACAGACATTCCAGTTCTGTTCCTCGTAAATAATTTCAGTAATAATTTTTCTATTGGGTGATGGATACAATTTAGTATTGAAATGAAAAATGAAAAATGAAATTCAGGTTGCGGATTGACTGATTGTGCTCACCATGATAGAAATTATATCCCCTTATGTATAAATCGTATACGGTATACCATTTTTTATGGGAGATTAATGTAGTGGATTTGCCAAGATCTGCCTCTGTTGATGCAAACTTCTAACTCATGTTCTCTGGTGATTTCTTTATAGGAGAAGTTTTACAATTTTAGATTCTGACCATCCTGCAACTTTCTGGCTTGACTCTAAGAGATAAGCTTATATCCTATTTGCATTAAATCACCTTTTAGGTAATTTGATAATAATGTGTTCACCAAGGCATGGGTATTGTTGGCAACAAATGTCTTACTTTGATATTTGCAGGACTAGGCCGAGAATAAAATTGAAGGCTTCAATGGAACCTCCAGGACTGGTTCAGGAACTTAAAAGTGATGAACTGGAGAGTGTAGGTAAAAGAGAAAGTGGCTCCGATTTGTTTGATGAAATGAAGTATCGGTTCATGAGTTTTAAAAGAAAAAAGTACATGTAAGCTGCAAAAATTGTCTTGAGGTGTAGCTTGAAGAAAATTGGCCTCCCCTTAATCTGATATACATTTTTTTGAGCAGGGAAAACTTGGAACACTATCAAAATCTTGCTAAGGCTCAAGCACCAAAAGTAATCTCCTTATTTCCAGTGTATTCATTGTTTCTTTTCCTTGTCAATATATTTGCTGGAAACATGTAGTGATTTGGCTTTTTATTTAACTATGGTTACTGAAATGTGGGAAACATATTCTTTTTACTAACAAATTCAAGAACAGTTTATGGTGATTGCTTGTGCAGACTCTAGAGTATGCCCCTCATACATATTGGGATTCCAACCAGGAGAGGCATTTGTGGTTCGCAATGTCGCAAATATGGTGCCCCCATATGAGGTCTGTAGTACCATGTGTCAAGAACTTAATTTTAATTTCCTTCTTCTTTTTTCTTTTTTTTTTTTCTGTCATGGCATGCACTTTGATGCTATAAAGTTCATACTTTAGAAGTGATTAACAATTCATATCTTCCTCCTTTTCTATTTGTGCAGGGTGGGCCCTCAGAAACGAATGCTGCACTAGAATTTGCTGTGAACTCCCTTAAAGTAAGTTACTCCTGGCTTATTTCCCTCTGTGTTTAAGTAATTATTTGAGTTGGATTTCCTTCAGTTTTGGGACTGTACAACTGATAAATGGAAAACAAATGTAACCTATATCATTGAGCCTTGACAATGGCAGTTGGACTGTTCTCCTTGACAATTTTACTACTTGAGAATGTAATAAGGAATACAAGGGGGAATGGAAATGAAGTCTGATATGAGACTTGTTTACTTTGGAGATATTGTTTCTAGTAGAATTCGCTATGCAATTTGGATTCACATGTATATGCTTTATGAGTGGTGGCCTGTAATCTTCTCTCCTGGGTTTCCTGGTACCTTTAGCTGCAAAAATTTGTTCTAATGTAATTCCTTTTGCAGGTTGAAAACATTTTGGTTATCGGACATAGCTGCTGTGGTGGCATCCGTGCACTCATGAGTATGCAGGATGAAGAAGACTCTACTAGGTGTGGTCACAAAAACATCATCCTTCTATTGCTTTGTTATGGTATTAAATCACCATCATCTTCCAAACAAAAGAAAAAAAAAAAAAGAGAGAAAATTTGTGTATATTTTTCTCACTTATTTATAGTCTTTTCTTCTGTAGCTTTATCACAAGATGGGTTGTTGTTGGTAGAAATGCAAGGCTAAATACAGAAGCTGCTACATCCAACCTTGGTTTTGACCAGCAGTGCAGGCACTGTGAGAAGGTACTCCCTCTACCACTCTCAATCTCTATCCTGCAGTAGGTTAATGCATCCAAGTAAGAGGAGACTGTTTAATCCAATACAAATGTTCAGCTTTTAACAAAAACAGGTTTTTTTTTTTTTTTTTTCATATAAGGGGCATTCTACATGTTTTTCATGTTTAATTCCTTTCCATTTGCTTTTTTAATCTTCTTCCCCCTTTTTACTTCCCTTATTTTAATTTAGGCTCGAGAAGGGGGTTCTAATTCATTTGGGCGAACTAGCTCTGGCAAAACCTTGCATCATATTCAATTCAAAAATCTATGTCATTGATTGAAGGGCTTAATCACCATCATTTTGTGGATAGTCTTTCTTCTTGAAGTGTATCCAGGATCCTTTGCATTGTGTGCAAGTCTTCAGTTTTTAGGCCTCACAAAAATGTATTTTTCTTTTGTATACACAAAAGGAGTGAAAGGAGGTAACATAAAATGATGAATTTCATTGCATGTTTCTCTGTTGCAGGAATCAGTCAATTGTTCATTGTTAAACTTGCTCACTTACCCATGGATAGAAGAAAAGGTAAGGAAAGGGCTGCTGTCTGTACATGGTGGCTATTATGACTTTGTTGAATGCACATTTGAGAAATGGACATTGGAGTACGACCGAGGGAAGACAGATGAAAGCAATACGGTTGCAGTAAAAAATAGATCCTTTTGGCGCTGACTTATTCTGTCAGTCTTATATTTTCCCTCTGTGCTGCATAATTTATGAATGGCGAGACAATTGAACAATAATGTTATCTCCTAAGAATATTGTAGGGCACAACCCCTCTGTTGTATCATTGCTGTAACGTTATTTTCTGCTTCATACTTCTAGGAAAGCTTCAGCTGAGTCATTCTCACTGCCTAACATTCTCCCCCTGTAAACTTGGGGTTAAGTTGTTAGGAGTCATCTTCATGAAGTTTGATAACATCAATTTATGTTATGGGTTTCGGGAATAATTTAGTTATCACTGAAAGCAGCTCAAACATTAGCTTAAAAAAAATTGAAAGAAAGGTGTGAAAACATCAAATGCTTTGCTAGCTAGTTCTATTTAAATCCACACGGTATTGTTGATTGTAACTATAAGGAATGGAAAAAGCATGTGACAGGGACTGGGAGAACATCCATCCCATATTTATTTGCAAATATTGTATCTGGATGCAGTATAGAAACAGGAAATGGTATTTTTTATGGTATTGAAACACGCACAATCAAGAATTTCTAAACTAGTTAAGATTTTCTTTTGTACAAGGCGTAAAAGCCATAAAACTGTACAGATAACTTTCTGAAGATATCATGCTTGGATATGTCATCTGAAATGCATACGTGGTGTAGAAATTTAAACCCTCTAACAAGATTGATAGTATTGCTCTAATCCATTCTCTTTGTTGAAAAACCACTCTGTAGAACGGTGTGGTACTTGAAGTCACTAAAACTGAAATTTTAGCTTTGATTTGGAATCATTTGCGGCATGTGATGCCCCCACATACTAATACCCAGATCAAAAATAATATTAAACAAACAGCTGCATAAATAGCAAGGACAATTCGCACTTGGCGCCGCCACTTCTTTTGAATATCTTGATACTCGGATCTGATCCTCATTGAAACCATCTCCCTCTGCTGTGAGATTGAAGAGGCTGATCTATTTTGGTTATCAGAAGCCAACAGTGTGGAATCAAACTGGACTTCCCTACCTGTAGAATTCCAACGTTCCCCCACTTCAGTATCTCTAACTCCAATTTGTTGATCATTAGGCCTCTTCTTCTTCTTCTTCTCAGGCCTGCTATACCCATCCAACAAATGGGATTCCGTAGAACTAGCAGCTTCACTTTGAGTATTTGCATTACTCGGCAATGATGAGAGGCCTGAATGATCAAACGAGGAATTTGGACTCTTCTGGTCATTGCCACTATGAGAGCCAAGCTGCAATGAAGTTATCAGACGGTGAATAGCTGGCACTAATTGTTCCTGTAAGCTTCTTGAAGCCAAACCTGATGAGCTTCCTCTTGAATCCATTTTAGCTACATTTTCAAATTCATCCTTCAGGTTCTCTAAAAACTGACGCACACAAGAGTTTCCGACATCTTCATCAACAATTGTGAAATAAACGTACCCATCATTCATCAAAAAACCAAAAGTCCTTTTACCTATTCTCTCCAAATACCACTTGTGGAATGGTGGAATCCTTTCCAAGCACAGGGCAGCCAGATTTTCAATCTCATGAACTCCCCCACTATACCTATACAAAATCCGGTTATCCTTTGAAACACTACAGTAGTGAACAGTATTGTTAACTGATCCCATTGGAGCTAGTACCAAAATGCAACCAACATAAGTGGCAAGCTGTAGA